AAAAAAAAAAAAAAAAATCTTTCCTACCAAGAGCAGTGACCTGCTCCCAGGTCCAGTGTTGAGAACAAAATAAGAGCTTCTGAAGTGAGTTTCTTGGTGCAAGTCCTTGAAAACTGGGATTTGATTTGATGGTACCATCTGTTGGAGAGCCTAGCTCTACCTTGAATAACGTCAGAGGGCTATTTAGAGTCTCCTAAAAAAGAAAATAGTCATTGAGATCATCTCAAAAGGAAATGGTAGTTTCTCTTATACTGTAAAGGTGATGACTAGGGACTGGAGATAGTCAAAAAGTTGCCAAATGATTCCTAGTCTCAGAACAGAGCTCAGAAAGGTGGCCAGCCACCCACCATAGCCAACCATCAAACTTGTCCCCTTCGCATGTGACCTTATCACTGTGACTCCCTAAAATAACAAAGGATACATCTTTTCACAAGTCTTTCAATGTGCAAGACATGAAGCAGTCCATCTCCTTATCAGGACATCTGAAAGTTAGAAATGCTCAGTGAAAATAGATTTGTTTATTAGCATCTCTTAATGCCAAAATGAAGTGTTTCTACCAACTAGCTTTGGAATGGCTGGCATTTGGAACTGAGGAGTGGTTGAGGCCCTTCCTTGCGACCTGAATTTTCTTAACACTGACCCTGAATACAGATTTTGTTCCTCTTAAAGGAAAAAGCAGCCTCCATGTCTATGGCCTGGGAGGGAACTTCTTGTACCTTGCCTGTCCTCTCTTTTTTGCCCTCCGCTAGAGGAAGAACTAGAATGATGAGGGGGTTTATGGTAATCTGGTGAGCTTGTCTCCTTGTTCCTACATATTATATTGACTTAGACTTTTTAGGGAAAAACTTGCTTAAAGGAAGAAACAAACCAGTTATTAGAGTCGAGGATTAAAGTCAAGTATGAGTTTTCAGATTTGTTTTTAAATTAAGGATTAAATTCCTGGGAGTAAGGGAGGCACTGTTTAAATAAACAAGATTGTTAGTGAGCCTCAGGAACCCTGCCTGCTTTCTTGGGGGAGGGGCTGTCTGGGAGACAGACAGATTGGAGCTCATGCCCTAACTGTGGAAAGTCTTTGAGTTCCTCTGAGGTACAGAGGACGGGAAACTTTACAGCTGCTGTACTTGAGAATGTTTTGAAGTGTCTTTTGGGAATATGATCTCTTTCTCTTCAAACCTGACAATGATTTTTTTTTCTTTTTCTCCAGGGTGACCAGAGGCAGGTCATTCCCATACCAAGTGTATGTATTATGTATTTATCCAATTTTATTGAAACATTCATAGAATCTTGTGGCTTTGGGCCTACTACTAATATAAAAGGTTTTTTTTAATATTCTTGCATATGTTGAATTTTATCATGTGGTTTAAACAGCTCTCTTCTGTGAAAAAGAAAAATGAAGCTACATTTTAAACTGTAAGGAGGAATTTCTATACAGAGAAACTTCTATGGGTTTCTTTCTCAGGAATATTAGGACGGCTAGTGTCTATTAACCTTGCTCTCTGGGAAGGGCTCCAAACCTATTAGGGTGAGGTAGCTTGGAGCCCTCACCTCCACCCCAGCACCTTGGCCCCAATTCTGTAGACTGGAGAGACCATACTTTACATAGACATGATTGGTTCTTTGTAGGAGAACCACTGGAACTGGGCTCACAAAGCCCCAGTGACCAGACCATTTCTAACTTAACAGCAAGATAACTTGGCTATGGGGATGACTTTAGAGAAATCACCATAATTATTAATATATTCCCTGAACTTGCAGGACATACTCCATCCCACAGGCCAGCTGTGTTGTAACTCTGTGCCAACTAAGCACTCCCTTGGGCCATTGTCAACCCTGGAATTTGGGTGAGAAGGCTCATCAGCATTCTACCCAGCATGGGTGTGCACCAGCCATTCCTCCTTCACTGACC